GGCCAACCTCACAATTGTTGCCACGCTTGAGCCCATTAATGCTGCCACTTTGCCAACCCATCTCTCTGGGGATCTTCCTCTTTTTTTCCAACCCTCCATTTTATCAAACATGATATTCTTCTTCAGTGACTGGTCCCTCCTGACAATATTTCCAGAGTATGAGAGATGAAGTCTATCCATCCTGGCTTCCAAGGAGCACTCTTGACTGCACTTCCAACACAGATCTGTTTGTTCTTTTGACAGCCCATAGTACTTTCAATATTCTCCCCAACACCATAACTTAAATACATCAGTTCTTCTATGGTCTTCCTTATTCACTGTCCAACTTTCCCATGCATATGACGGGATTGAAATTACCATGGCTTGGGTCAAGCGCACCTTAGTCCTCAAGCTGACATCTTTGCTCTTTAAAAAGGTCTTGTGCAGCAGATTTGCCTAATGCAATACGTCGTCTGATTTCTTGACTGCTGCTTCCGTGAGTGTTGATAGTTGAGTAGAACAAAATGAAGTCTTTGACAATCTTTTCTCCATTTATATGGATGTTATCTATTGGTCCAGTAGTGAGGATTTTTCTTTTCTTTACAGAGCTGCAATCCATATGGAAGGTTGTGGTCTTTGATCTTCATCAGTAAATGTTTTAAGTCCTCTTCACTTTCAGCAAGCAAGGTTGTATCATCTGCATATCGCAGGTTGTTAATGAGTCTTCCTCCAACGCTGACGCCACATTTTTCTTCATAGAACCCAGCTTCTCTAATTATTTACTCAGCATACAGATTGAATAAATATGGTGAAAGATGCAACCCTGGCACACACCTTTCCTAATTTTAAACCATTTGGTGTTCCCTTGTTCTGTTGGAACAACTGTCTCTTGGTTCATGTACAGATTCTTCATGAGCACAGTTAAGTGTTACAGAATATTCATAATGTTGTCCATAGCTTGTCAAGATCCACACAGTCAAAAGCCTTTTTCAGTCAATACAGCACAGATAAACATCTTTCTGGTATTCTCTGCTTTCAGTCAAGATCCATCTGACATCAGTTATGATATTCCTCATTCCACGGCCTCTTCTGCATCTATCTGGCTTGAACCTCTGGGAGTTCTCTGTCAATGTATGATTGTAGCCGTTTTTTGCATTATCTTTACTAAAACTTTATTCACATGGGATATCAATACTGTCTGATGATTTCCGCATTCCATATATATACATATACATGCACACACATGAACATATATAGAGATATAGACATATAGACACAGATATGTGTGTGTGTGTGTGTGTGAATCCTGGTGTGGTGCTACCGGTTAGTGCGCTGGACTGCAAAGTCAGTTTGAACCGCAAGGTTGGAGGTTCAAGCTCACCTGTTGCTCCTCAGAAATCCTATACAGGGTCACTATGGGTTAAAACCGACTTCATGGCACTTAACAACCACCACACACACATATATGTAATAGCTATGTATTAAAACGGAGTCCTGGTATGGCACTGTAGAATAAGCATTGGACCACAAGGTCAGTTTGAACCACAAGGTTGGTGGTTCAAACTCACCAGCCACTCCTCAGAAACCCTATACAGGGTTACTATGAATTGCAACCCACTTGATCACACTTAACAACAACTTGTATTAAAATGGGAGTCCTGATATGGTGCTATAGGATAAGCACTGGGTTGCTAACCACAGGGTGGTTTCCAGCCGCTCTTTGGAAACCCTTTATGAGGTTGGTATGAGTTGGAACCAACTAGAGGGCACTAACAACAATGATGTATTAAAATAATCCCTAATGACACAGCAATAAGATTAAACTCTTATTTTTGCCTTTTAGATTAAAACTAGCACTAGCATCAGACTCATAAACAGATGGCAAGATTAAATAAGTCATTATTACTTGCCTACATCTAGAAACCCTGTACAGGGTCGCTATGGGTCGGAACCGACTCGACGGCACATAACAACAACAACAACATCATCTAAAAATAAATTTTAATGGAAACTTAATCTTGAAAACAGTCACAAGTTTTTTCCTCTATGGGAGAATTCTGCAGTTCACCAAATAATAAAAAAAAGAAGCCATAGGATACTCATGTTGTCCTTGTTAAGTTCCATCGAGCCAGTTACAACTCATAGTGACCCTGTATAGGGTTTCCGAGGCTATCCATCTTTGCAGGAGCAGAAAGCCTCATCTTTCTCCAGTGGAGAAGCTGGTGGGCTCAAACCGCTGACCTTGTGATTCACAGACCAGTGCTTATCGTACAGAACCACCATGCTCCCCATAATATCCACAGACCCTGCTCCAAATTTTCAAAATGAACAGTTGTTAAATTGTTGCAGGAAAAGATGAACGTGCCAGAAGTTAATGTAAGACAAAGATCTCTAAATATTAATGACATATATAGAATGAAAGCTACATTTTTCCTCACTGCCACATTATTTTGCTAATTTAAATTAAGGCATATGAAACCTGAGTCAAACAAATCACACTGCATTTAGTATCCCCAAGAGAAAACAGAAAAAATATCTCCTAAATAAAAATACCATATTTATACCTTTGTGTATGAAGGCATGGGCATTCCCTGTCTTCAAACATCTTTCAGATAGTAAGTGACAGACTTAATTATTATTCAGGTACGTTGTTAAGTGCTGTTAAGCTGGTTCTGACTCATAGCAACCTTGTATAGGGTTTCTGAGGAGTGGTTGGTGAATTTGAACCACTGACCTTGCAGTTCAAACTGACCTTCTGGTCCAGTGCTTATCCCACAGCGCCACACCAGGACTCCTATTTAGGTATGTTGTTAAGTGTCATCAAGTCAGTTCAGACTCATAGCAAACCCATATAGGGTTTCTGAGGAGTGACTGGTGGGTATGAACTGCCAATCTTGAGGTTCAAACTGACCTTGCTGTCCAGTGCATTATCCTGCAACACCACAACAAAAGCAAATTGAGCAAAGTCTGTGAGAAAGTCAACTGCATACCTAAGAGTAAGGTCCAGGCTTTTAGCTTTTTAATGATGGGATGAATTTGATATAAATCAAATTGATTTTTAAAAACGAGTATTCAAGCTAGTTATTTCCCCTATTATTATTGTTAAGTACCTATTTTCCCTATAAAGCATTCTTATTTTGATATAATGTTTTCATGTGTGTGTGGGTGTGTGGTGTGTATGTGTTGTATGTATTTATATCACAAAAATAGCTGGTTGTAATTGTATAGCGCATCCATGTATTTTTCTAAAAGATTTATTTTGACAATTTTTCAGGAGTGTAATTATACAAAGATGACTGGTGACTTGCCCTTTTTATCAGTCAATGAAATAAATGGGTCTTGAAACAACTCAATTATCTGAAAGATTCTTGCAATGCTATCATATTAAGTAGGAACACCAAATTATTTTAGATATACAAGCTATATGTACACATATATACAAGGTGGCTTCAAAAAGTTTGTGGAAAAATTTCATTGTCTTTTAATTCAATTTTTCCACGAACTTTTTAAAGCCCTTTCCCATTATCTTTTCATATATTTTAAACGAATGTTATTGTTAAGTGCCGTCGAGTCGGTTCTGACCTGTAGCGACCCTGTATAGGGTTTCCAAGGAGCAGCTGGTGAGTTTGAACCGCCGACCTTGCAGTTCTAAGGGCTTTGCAGTCTGGTGCATTAACCCACAGGGCCACAGCAGGCTATTTAACTGAATTCGTTGTTGTTGTTCAGTGCCATTGAGTCGGTTCCAACCCATAGCGACTCTGAACAGGGTTTCCGAGGCTGTAAATCTTTACGGGAGCAGAAAGCCTCATCTTTCTCCTGTGGAGCAGCTGGTAGTTTCGAACTGCTGACCTTGCGGTTCGCAGCCCGATTCATAACCACAACGCTACCAGAGCTCCTTATTTAACTGAATAGGCAATGTAATATGCACATTTTTACTTATATCACCTCATTTAATCTTACAGTCATTTTATGAGACTGATCTTATATAAACATAAAATGCAGCCAAAAAAAACCAAAAACCTTTAAGTTTTGGTGACATTAACTCACACCTTCCTCTTTTTTTATTTCAAGAATGGTGGTGGTGGTAGTGTGCCATGGAGTCACTTCCAACTCACAGCGATCCTACATAGAGTTTCCGAGGCTGTGAATCTTTACAAGAGTAGAAAGCCTCATTTTCTCCCACAGAATAGCTGGTAGTTTCAAACTGCTGACCTTAAGGTTAGCAGCCTGACTCATAACCACTACGCTCCCAGATCAAAGAAAAATGGCTACTTATTCACCATTTCCCTAGTGCTTCTCAACACCCCGTTTTCTAGCACGAGACTCAAAGATTGTCACCCTCCTGGGTTAACAGCAGTGTAGGCAGTCCCCAACAGAGATTCTGGGCATTTTAATGGAGTTTTGTTGCTCTCCTTGTAATTTGAAACTGTATTATAATTTACATCTAGGTTCCGAGACTAGTGACTGAAAACAAACAAAAACCCAATGCCATCAGATTCCAAGTCATAGCGAGCCTGTAGAGGGTTCTAAGACACAATCTTTACAGGAGCAGACAAAGTCATCTTTCTTCCCCAGAGCAGCCTGTGGGTTTGAAGTGCTGTTCTTCCACTTAGCAGCCTGATGCCTACCCCACAGTGGCATCAGAAAACTGAACTCTATTAAGTGTGGCTGAAAAATACTCTCATTCTTTCTTCAGAAGTAACCAAAGATGCAGAGTGCCATGTTGGGCAAGTTACTTAATCCACCTGTGCCTGAGTGTCCTGCTCTGTAGGTGGGGGAAACAGTACCCTCGAGAAGAACTAAAGGATTTAGAATCTGCATCTAGCAAGCACTCAAATACTAGATAATAATGTTGTTATTAATGCAGGTTAGTATGTACACTTGTTGAGTCTATAAGATATAGAAAGGTTTACTTAGAGCAATATGAAAGGCCATCAACATTTTCTTTACTTCACAGCTCAATAGCAACCACTTCCTGTAAAACAATAACAATGTTATGAATGGATTCCAATGTCACAAACCTTATTGAACCATTCAGGACTTTTCTTTTTAGCCAGTGATAATGTTGTAACAAATCCAGCTAGCATTCCGGCTGCAGCAACAGTCCCAAGGAAAACTCCACCTGCCAAGAGTTTCAGGGGAGGGGAAGAGAAGTGAAAGGATATCTATGAAAAACAAACAAATATGAAATTTAAAAGATATACACGAGTAAGTTTCAGGCAGTAGTTAAGTTGCATTCATAATCATTTTTTTTTTTTTTAAGAAACGACAGCAAAGCAGCTCTTGTCAAAGGTAAAATTACAAACCCGTAGCCGTGTTGTTGATTCCTACTCATTGCCACTGCCAACAAGGTTTCCAGAGCCATCAATCTTTCCCAAGCAGACTGCTTCATCTATCTCCCACAGAGTGGTCTGGTGGGCTCAAATGGCCAGCTTTAAGATAGCAGGCCAGCACTTAATCGTAGCATGGTGGTTACAGTTGGGCTGCTAACCTGAAGGCCAGCAGTTCGAAACGACTAGGGGAAGAAAGATGAGGCGTTTTGCTGCCGTAAAGATTTACAGCCTCAGTAGGCCTATGCAGGGTCGCTCTGAGTCGGAACCGACTCCACGGCACATAACCACCACCACCAAAAGCAAACTGAGCCCACTGACATCAAGGCAATCCTGACTCAAGGACTCTGTAGTAAGGTTTCTGAGACTGTAAATTTTTATGGGAGCAGACAAGAGTGGCTGGTTTTCAACTATAGACCGAGCGGTTTAGCGGTTCAGCACCTAACTCATTGCGACACCAGGACGCAAGTAAATGATAGAAACTGTGACACCTGAGTGACCTCACGACCTCTGGTCCTAAGGTACCATTCCGAAGTGCAAGGAATGGGCGTAAGGACGGGACAACGGCGTGAGGTTTCTCGCGGGGAAAATATTGAGACAGTCGGGGTTAGAAATGAGAGGGCAGTACGAGGAAAACCACAGACAGGAAAATGCGGCAGGAACAGGACCGGCGCCTATGTACTGGCCCTCGACTTTGGACAGCGTCCTTTGGCGCCGGGGGACGTGGTGGATCTGTATGCTACAGACAGGTCAAGCCCACTGAGCTCACTGTCACCCTCACTACATCACACCTTTAACCAGGAAAAGTCGGTCGTCCGAGGGTTCGGGAGCCTCCAGCCGGGAGGCCGATGCCCCTGTCCCAGCGCCCGCAGCCTCCATAGTTCAGCCTCCACGTCAGGTCCAACGCCAAGCGGGCCCGGGTGGGTGCACATGCGAGGCGGAGAGAAAGGTTCCGTTGCTCCCTCTTCCCTGTGCATTCTGAGTATGGGTCCGGAGTCCCCGACCTGTCCCACCACTTCGGGATGAAAGGGAAGCCGGGCTGCACGCCAAGTCCCCTCGCCAGTCCAGGGGCGGGGTCCTCCAAGGCCGGCTCCTGGGGAGGATCTTTTTCCTGCTATAAGGAGCTCTGGTAGCGTAGTGGTTACGAATTGGGCTGCTAACCTTAGGGTCAGCAATTCGAAACTACCAGCTGTTCCGCGGGAGAAAGATGAGGCTTTCTGCTCCCGTAAAGATTTACAACCTCGGAAACCCTGTACAGGGTCGTCGCTTTGAGTCGAAACTGACTCCAGGGCACAGAACAACAACAGCAAGGTGATAATGGATTTACTTACTTTGTCTGCCGGAAGCAGTGCTCAGCTCTGACTGTAGGAGGCAATTAGCTGCTGGGTCCCGGATTCAACCTGGTCTGAGACCCTGGAGGTTTCTGATCAGCCATATACTGTGTCCCAAAACTTGGCCAGCGCTTACAATCCACGATTCTAAAAAGCAGACCGCAGTCTTTCCTCTGTAATTTTCTGGGAAATACGTGGCATTCGTCACCGTGGGTCTAAGTGACAGGTTTTATCCTTGAAGCCAGCTCTCTCATACGGCAGCCCACTGAGGCTCATTGAGGGGCGTGGATGGCCAAGGAGATGAACTGAAGTAGTTTGTTTCGTCTCTTGGGGAGAGCAGAGGACTACTCAAGACTCTGGTACATTAAACTGCCAGACTGGGAAACTGGGCGGCCCCCATGCTGGTCTGATTTGCAGATGGTGACGTGTTAGGTGAATGACCATTGAAAGAGAAAGACTGATCAACTTGGGAAATCTTGTCAGCTTTGCAAACATAGACATATGACATAATCACTTAAAATGAGGCAATTTTTCTACCATTTGTTCTTTCTGATAACCTTCAGCCAGGAGCTCTTGAGGATGGGGATGAAGATCTTTATTAATTTTTATTTTCTTCCCTCAACTTACTTCCGAGGTCATGAATAATCAATCAATACATGCTGATTAAATAAGTAAATAAATGCATCGGTTAAATGCAATGAATAGCTCAAACTTGGGTTCAGGTTCTAAACCACTTCTCAGATGTGTGAACTTGGTTGGCACATTCAGCCTCTCAGTACCTCAGTGAAAAGTGTCCTAGTGTTTCAGTGGTTAAGAAAGTCCAGCAGTTAAAAACCAGTCCTTTGTACAACAAGAACAAGCAAGTTGCTTGCCCAGGAGACATCAATGCAAGTGGTTGGGTCTCTTCAGAGCAAACCCCCTTCCAAGATTGAGACTCAATGGGAATACATGCTCTGACTGGTGACCACGTTCATTACCGATAAAGGAAAGTGAGGGAAAAACAGCAATGAAGCTGCAAGCTAAGTCTTACAAAGTTTAATAGACTCCTGTGAACCAGGGTGGAGACCTGGTTGGCCAACAGTGTGGCAACACCTGGGGATTTTGGGCCCAGAGTCAGTGACATGGCCACAGAGGACTAGAGTGGAGAGTGAAGCGTTCAGCTGATAAGAAGAGAGGGCATATGCACAAGAACACCCACACTTGCAGATAATACCCACTTGACCTGGCTTCAATGATTGGATGATCAGAGCTCAACTAGAAGAAGAAAGAAGAGGGAAAAAAGAGTAATCAGATACAAGTCGATGAACTTGACCTACACCTATGGAGGCAGGGAACCAATCTTTACAGCAAGGATCATTCCCACCCCCTCCATACACAGAGTAGACAGGGACGGGCAACTTGGACATTGGCTATCCAAAGTGGGGGCGCTACAAAGGCAAGAAGTTACTGGCTTACAAGCTTTCAAGAGGGAACCTAGATCCAGAGGGCATGGAGGAAGGTAGAATCTCCACTGAGTAGTATCCAATCTGTCCAGGCAGGGCTGATGAAAGGAAATGCAGAAAGGTCTCTTGTGATACAATAGTGAATAATTGTTATCAGGACTGATCGTGAAGGTTGGAAATGTAAAGGTAAATGTTTTGTAGTAAGGAGGGGAGTGATTAATTTTGCAGTCTTGGAGCAGAGGTCCCTGGGACCATGAAGGGAGAAGAGCGGAGAGCAGGACCCTACCCAGAGAAGCAGTGATGCCTGAGATGGAAGCAGAGACGATGACATGGAGAGATGGAGCAGCTGGGGACTTTAGACACAGAGAGGGAGAGGGGCTGTGTGCTGATGACTGGGGGGCAGGCTTGCAGGGTATACCCTTTGGTTGGTTGATGATGCATGGAGGGGATCGTAACCATAGCAATGAAACGATATATGATAGGATGAATGTAAAACTAATGTTCTCCCATGTAAACTATCACATAATTCACAATAAAACATAAAAAAAAAAAAAACAGTCCTTCAGTGATAGACATAAACTGGCAAATCTGCTCCCATAAAGACTGTTGGTTTTAGGTGGCATTGAGTTGGCTCCGACTCATAGCAACCAAATGTACAACAGAATGAAACTGTTCAGTGCAGCACCATCCTCACAATTGTTGTATGTTTGAGACTACTGTTGTGGCTACAGTGTCAACCCTAATTCTTGAGAGTCTTCCTCTTTTTATCTGACCCTCTACTTTAGCAAGCATGACATGTCCTTATGACATGTCCAAAGTACATGAGAAGACGTCTCACCATCCTTGATTCTAAGGAGTACTCTGGCTGTACTTCTTCCAACACAGATTTCTTTGTTATTCTGGCAGTTCACCACACACACAATATTCTTCATCAACACCATAATTCAATGCATTCATTCTTTGCTCTTCCTTATTCATAGTCTAGGCATGTGAGGTAATTGAAATACCATGGCTTGGGTCTGATGCACCTTAGTCTCTAAAATAACATCTTTGCTTTTTAATACTTTACAGATATGTTTTGTACCAGATTTCCCCCATACAATCCATTTGATTTCCTGGCTTATGCTTCCATGGGCATTCATTGTGGATCCAAGTAAATATAATCTAGAAAGACTGCAGCCGAGGAATCCCTAAAGGGGCAGTTCTAATCTGTCACATTGGGTCACTAGGAGTTAAAAACAACTGGACAGTGCCTAACAACATCCCTGGGTTATTGTCCGGAGGAAACAGTCGCTGGAGAAGGATGTCATGCTGGGTAAGGTGGAGGGTCAGAGAAAAAGAGGAAGACCCCTAACGAGATGGATTGGCCAGGTGGCATCATTGATGGACTCAAGTGTGGCAGCGGTAGTGAGGTTGGCCCAGGATCGGACATTGTTTCGTTCTGCTGTGCATGGGGTCTCTATGAGTCGGTTCCGACTCGATGGCACCTGACAACAACAACATGCAGTCACTGGTTAGCACAAACTGTTAAGCAGCACTAGCTACTAATCAAAAGAGTAGTCGTCAATTCTACCCGGAGGCGTCGGAAGAAATACCTGGCAATCTACTTCAGAATGATCAGTCACTGACAACCTGTGACGCACAGTTCTGCTCTGAAACTCATGTCACCATTCATTAGAACTAACTCAATGGCAACTGGCAAACAGTTTCCTCATCTGTAAAATCAAGAAACTGATAGTTCAGTTCCTACCTCGTGGAGTTGTGAAAATTAAATGAAGCAATGTGTATAAACATGTCAGCACAGTGCTGGGCACAGATTAATGCTAACTGTTAGTTCTAATTATTGTCAGCCTTGGTTCCAGGGTCTGTTTTACAGCATCACCTGTAGAGATTTTAAAATGTGGAGATGTCCAAGGTCTACTTGGGGGTCTTGGCTCTGAAGCATCAGGGTAGGGTCAGGACAGCAGAAGTTTGAAAACCCCATGGGCAATTCTCATGGCTAGCCAAGGATGAGAACTACTGCTCTCTACTTTCTGTGTGGATAAAATCACACAGATTTATATGAACTTTGGATTCTTCGGCTCTACAATGCCAGTGTTTGAAAGGACTCTGAATTGGAGCATGCTATGCTAACTTACGAATCGGGCTGCGAACCGCAAAGTCAGCAGTTCGAAACTACCAGCTGTTCCACTGGAGAAAGATGAGGCTTTCTGCTTCCATAAAGATTTACAGCCTTGGAAACCCTGTACAGGGTCGCTATGAGTCAGTTCCGACTCCATGGCACATAACCACCACCACATGCTAACTTAGAATATACTCTTTTTCATTTATTTCATGCATAAGGTGACAATTAAAAACAAACCCAAACTGGTTACCTCCTAGGTGGCTCTGACTCATGGCAACCACATGGGTTGCAGAGTAGAACCACTCCATAGGTTTTCAAGGCTGTAGGATCAGCACTGGACTGAGAACCACAAGGTCGGCAGTTCAAACCCACCAGCTGCTCCTCAGAAACCCTGAATAGGGTCACTATGAGTCAGAACCAACTCAACAGCATTTAACAACAAAATAACAGCCTTTTGGAAGCTGATCACCTCTCCTTTCTTCTGAGGTTCCTCTGGTGAAGTTAGACTGCCACCCTTTCAGTTAATAATTGAGCATTTAACCATTTGCACCCCAAGGACTCCCAATGAGGATAAGAGCAGCACAGGGTGGAACTGAATGAATTGGTTCAAAACCCGACTTGGTGCTTACACCAGCCACATTAACTCTTGGAATTCTGTTCTCCCAACACTGCCTGTTGTTGTTAGTGCCTTCAAGTTGGTTCTGACTCGTACATAGCAGCCCTGCTTAGAGAGGCTCCCTCATCCCACTGTCCTCTAAGAAAGCACAGAACTCTTTAAGGATTGTCTTACTATTTACTCTAAGGAGCAGAAGGGAGATACTAAACATTTAAATCTGGGAAAATTACAGAGACCATACTCTTCAGCCTGTTTCCCTTTTCAGACCCTGAGAGACCCGGTCTACTGTTATTCCTAGGGATTCCGCTCACATGCCTCTTTTTTCTAGCTCCCCGAAGCCAAGGGTAATTTTCCTCCTTTCTCTG